CGTTCCTCTCGTGCAAAAACCATAAGTGGTGTCGTCTGTCGACCGTCGGCCACGAAGGCAGGCTCAGCACTGGCAGCTCTGGCCGGTGACATTGCCGCCCTGCCCAAGCCGATGCGCATGCCCCTAAGGGTCCTCGAGACGCGAGTGCCATTTCCACGAAGAAATTTTCACATTTAAAATCTCTTTCGGCATGAATTTCGCCACGAGCGAGCCTTGCCTGTCTCTTTCCCCTCTTCCACTGCAATCAATTCGATATTTCTTTTAAGTTATCGTCAGACGACATAAGTGTGAGACTGACACCCAGACAGACTCACAGACGGACGGGACTATTAAAAAAAAAAAGCGGAAAAGGTATCGATTTGCATCCAAGCAAGGACTGCACGCGTTCACGATCCCACCGTGATTATCCGGACACAATGCAACCGCACGATAAAAAGGATGAGTCCGATGCATCTGATGGGCCAGGTGCGAGGGGATCATCATCGTCACCTGTCACGATAGCGTTATTGTCCGGGGAGACTCGAGCGAGTCGCAGTCCACGCCGGCTCGAGTAACGCACCTCGTACGTGAGTCTCGCATCAGATTTTCCTTCAACTTCCAATCCGTCCACAGATTCATTGCCCCTGCTTTTCCCTCATCGGATTTTAAGCCTTTTTTTTTACCTTAGCATGTTATTGCCAGTTTGAGTCTTATTTTCTTTCTTTTTTTATTTTATTCTATTTTTATAATTATTTTTTTATATGTAAATATATATTTTGTTATTTTTATTTTTAATTGATTAATTTTTCTTTTTTTAATTTTTAAAATTCTTTTCCGCCAGAGCTCTTTGATAGATGGAAATTCTGCTGGAATTTTGCATCCGACCGAACCGCTCTCAGTCGATAAATGGAAAAGGAAAACAGACTTATCAAGTCTCGAACACCATCGAGGGATTCGCGTGAAGCGTTTGGCGCAATGAATCTCTGAATCTCGTCGTTTCCTCCTTGAGGCGACAGGCAAAAATCAGAACCGAAAAGACGATTTCGACCTCACGGGAACTGAAAGGTGCTTTCGCGGATAAATTTTCGCATATATTGGTCAAATTGAAAGGTCTGTCTTCGAGGAGTATCGGCGAAATGCCCATAGATCACTGAAGAATAGGGAAAAAATATGTTGTGCAAATGTGATTTTTTGCGGTTGTCTTCCGATCGATACAGGAATAGGCCACCAGTCTCTGTCCCGCTCGTGAAAGGCCTTCGTTCCCCCGCTGCACAAAGGGAAACGGCGCTCCCGAAATTCCAACTTCCGGAAACGGGACTTCCGGAAACGGGACTTCTGCTTCTCTCTCTACCCCATTCTCCCCGTCGGGAACTTACACTCTTAGAAAATTCCGAGCGTTTAGGGAGTAAAAAGTGAGCACACTGTGAGCTTTTCAAATGTACTCTCTTATTACTTACCAAATGCTCCCTCGTCGCTCGTATTGAAGTGAACACCTAGTTCTTTTCCAGGCCACTAGATGGAGGTAACGGTCTCGCTTTTCGCACAGTGCACAAAAGTTCTCTTCCCTCTTTCCCTGGAATCGTCCCTCGCAGGATCGTTTAGTGCCTCGTCATGTGTCTCGCCTAGTCTCATTATGGGAATCAATAAACACGGACACGTCCTCTTTGTTATCCACATATTCAAGACAGATTCATAGAGCCCAGGCGATAAACAAGCTCATATTCCTTGTAAGAACCCTTTTGAAACTCCCAAGAAAATTGACTGCAGAGGAGATCTAAAATTCAAGGGAGCGTCCGTGAGTTTAATTCTACTTTTTCCTCAACTTGATGGGAGAACGAGGAAATTAAGAACTAGTTTCGCAGACACTTCATGGAACCGTAAGAGGTAGTCCATTCTCTGACAAGTACTGTAAACAGTACAGTCAGTTGTAGATCAACGTCTGTACTGACAAAATCGAGAGCGGCACACAGTATATATGAGGATTTGCGTATTTGCATGACATCCCTCCTGATTCATCTCCTTCTGAGGAGAGCATTTTTACTCCTTGGTGATGGAGCAAATTTTCTCCTTTCCCAGAGTGTAAGGGGAGTGAAACTAGAGTTAGCGGTTTTACTCTCTTTTTTGAGAAAAATCGCTCCCCTTTTTCTAAGAGTGTATGTACATTATATGTGATGTAAGGAGTTTGATGGACTCGAATTCTACGCAGCCACTATGCTGTGGCCGTACGTGTGAATGAACCGAATTCACGCCTGCGAGTCCTGAGCACACGCAAGTTTTTGTTTTTTTACTTCCGTTTATGCCAGAGCGTTCAGGAGTTTCATCTCCAAACCGTTTGCCATGGGGTCAGCAGCCACTCTCGGACATCGCGTCGGGTTCCGCAGAGTCACCGAGTGACCGCGTCGCGTCTCGCTTGGGCAAGAGTCAATTTGCACGAAACTCGTTCGTAAATCGATCGGGAATTGGCTTCTAATCCCCGCTTAGGGCTCCACTCGTCCCGCTTAGGGCTCCATCCCGAAAGTTCATCAAGTCCGTAGCGGCGAGTCTCTCCGCGTTCGATCTTGCCGAGTGCAGAAAAGGAGTGAATTTTTTAGAGCACTCTCGGTCCAAACTCCATCGTTCTTCCGTGATTGCATGCTCGGCTCGGTCTCAATTCGGTTAGTTGCTAAAAAAAAAAAAAAATAATGATAAATTTTTAAAAAGTAACTGCTGTTGTATTAGTAAATTTTTTTTTTCGAAAATTCTAATGTCCTATGAGGCTCGACCTTGGTAGTTCTATATTTCCTAATAAAAAAACAAAATTATTCCGTGTCTAGAAGATACTGAAACTCATGCACAGTGTCAGCCTTAGCTATTACAACGCCCTGTGCAAAGAGACTCCCAACGCCCCCTCCCTCCTTCCCCCCCCCCCCTCAAAAGGGGGAAGGGTCGATCCCTAGTTTCCAAAAAGACGCCGAAACGGAAGGCAATTCCACTTTCTGAAGTAAAACTGATGGTGGCATCCATTATTGCTTCATTCATTCTGGCACGATTCGGCGCCCCTGGTGAATTTGCGCCCCGTGCGGGGGACACGGGGCGCAAATTCACCCCCACGTGCGCACTTGCCTAATGCCGGCCCTGCTCGTACCCCTTCGTGCAGAAACATGGACTGGGCAAACGGGGAGATTATTTTCCATCGAGGAAACGAACGAAGAAAAGCAGGTTTCTCAAGGTCATCGGCAGGGAGCTTCTCTTTTTGGGGGAATTGCATCCATAAGACAGTAGCGTGCCCAGGAAATTCGAATGGAGGGGGGTTACCATATGAAACACTGATTACCCACCCTATTGGGGGAGTTAACATATGAAAAATCTGATAACAGGCCCTGTATTGGTGGCCAAGTTAAAAAATTTGTGAGAATCGAACCTGTAAAATTGCCCCCAAGGTGAGGGTTATGACCCCCTTCCCCCCCTTCCCCCCCTTGGGCACACCACTACATAATACGTCATCGGGGAAAGCGCAAATGTGTGGCGTCATCTCGGACGCCCGTACGCGTGAATCTCGCTCGGGCAGGGACTCAGATTTTCTCTTATTTAAAATTCGCGCTGGGAAAGTCTCGAGAGGATGAAGACCGGGCGGGATTTAAAAAATCGGAATTTTTATTATCGTTGACATAAAGTTAAATTTAGAATATAGTTATTAAAAATCATCTCGATCAGTCGAATAGAAATTTCCAAATTTTCCTTCGAAGAGATTCTACTTTGATGAACTGGATAGGATGAAGAAATGCTCTATGCTATTTCGACGAGGGGCAGCGTTGTCGCTCGGTGCACGACAGATGGCACTTCCTTCGCCTCCTTTAGAATTTTTGTTTCGAGGACAGATTCAGAGAAGGCATTGTCGGTCATTCAAAACTCGATCAATCGATCTAGCAATATTTGATTTAAGAAAATGATTAAAATCGAATTACCAGTGTCGGAGTGGGGGAGGGGGGAGGGAATCCGACTGTCGAGTTCGTTTCCTCGTTTGTGGCTCGGAGGAATTCGAGCATACGATTTCTTTTCACATCAAAGTTTCCGATCGGACGAAACACGGAAGCGATGGAAAGTGGAATCACCGATGACCTGATTGGTGCTGCCTCGAGTCCCGAGTCCCTTGAGTCCTCGAGTCACGAGTCCCTTGAGTCCTCGAGTCCTGAGTCCCGAGCCAACTGAGACTTCCCGAAAACACAAGCAAAACACTTGAATGGATACTATATATATCCTGATCATAATTAATATAGTATTATTCATAAATCGAAAATCGGGAATTTTGAATATTCCGACTTTCTTTGGTCTAATGACGAATACGAACGTTCCAAATCGGCCGAGCGTCACCATAAATCCGTTGAATTTCTGAGAAAATGGGAAAATATATTCAAAGCACTCCTTCCCTGCCATTTAAAACTTACTCAACTTCCCTTTAAACTTCGAGAGTGAATTTTGCTTTCCACTCATAATTCTCTCGTCCATCTTTTGAGACCTGGGGCCTGTTCCTCGCCTGTGCTAAACTTAAATCTAAATCTAAATCTAAATGTTAGGCTAAATCTTAGTCTAAATGGTCAGGGCGAAGAATAGACTTTTTACTTTTAGACTGCTTTTAGATTTAGATTTAGATTCAAGTTTAGCAGAGGCGAGGAACGGAATCCGAGTTACGAGATTGCAAACCCAAACGATCGCACGATGAAATTGACCGTGCGAAAGGAAGCCGGCCGGAAGTCACCTCGGCGCCAGACTCACAAAAAAAAAATTGCCGTCGACGTTTCGGCTCGCATGGCGGCTATCGGCGTCTACATCAAAACCCCGAGAAAAAAAAAAGAGGGAGAGGGGCCTTGGGGGTTCGAGGGCACTCGTGCTCGGGGCAAGTATTCATTCAGAGAAGGAGAAATGGGGGGTAAAAGCGAAAAAGCGCACGCACCCGAAGCGGCGATCATTGATTCTCTCGTGTGCGGCCGTGCCATGTCTCCTCCTCGCTTGCTCCGTGCAGTCGTGTCGCCAGGTCAGTGTCGATGGGGGTGTCGATCTATCGAAGGGGGAAAGGCCTCAAAATTGCAGCGGATGGCCACTTCGGAACTCGACCGAGGGCCGTTTGGGACGACCGATCGTCTGTTCAACTCGACCGGTCGAACGAAACGATAGTGGAATTATATATAAGAATGTGGCCTCGGATGTGGATGGGCCCGAGTCGCCATCGGTAGAAGCTGATAGCTGATCTCAGTACGACGCGTTTTGACTCGTTTATGCCGACCTCGTTCCTCTTTATATATATTTTTTTTCTATATTTTTTTATTTAGTTATTTTTTATACATTTATTTTCCATATGTTTATTTTCCTTGCGTTGATACTAGTCTTTCCCGTAGCCTGGAGGGATGGACTCCAGTGACCCCTGGCCGGTGATCCTCGGCCCCCCGCCGATGGAGCCCCTCCCTTACCTGCCGTACCTGACACCGTGCTTGGGCTGGCCCGCCCTCCTCCACAATAGGTCGGGCTCGCGGCTGACCTTCACGTCGCCGGCATGCACCGTCGTCTCCCCCGTCGTCTGCCACGCGCTGCCCATCTCCAGCCCGCCCGTCTCCGCCTTTCACGTCCCGCCGCCCGTCAAAGTGAGCCGTGAACTCGTAAGTCAAGAAAGAGGTTAAAGGAAGGCCGTGGTCGTGACCGGGGATTCATTGCGGAAAATTTTTATTCTCCCGACGAAGTGCCTATTTTTTCCAGCATCATATTCAAATATCTGAAAATTTTTGATATATTTGATTATGATGCTGGAATGTATTAACATTTCTTAGGTAGTTTCATGAAAATTGGCAATTTTATGAAAAATTTTTTTTATACCCTATGATATTGAACTAGTCCTCAAAATTTAAAATTGTTAAAACCTCAAAAGCAGTTCATTATCATGGCCTGCGCTATACATCGTTACATATTCCATGGTCGCAGACGGAAGAAGCAGAGAGCAGGGACGAGCCAGAGAGCGTGGAGACGACGCGGGACGGATCGGAGGTCCCCAGCCGCCACTTCTTCTCCTGTCCCCACTGCAACTACCGGACCGATCGGAAGAACAATCTCCGTCGTCATGTGGCCACCATGCATCATTCCACGCCGGGTAAATTCCCCTTGAAAAAATCCGACATCGAAGTGGGACGTGGGTCGACAACGCACGCATTAACGCGTGTCGCCGTTGATAAAATGGCAACGCTGCGGGTTAACACATGCTAGCATAGTTCAATGTTTAATAATGTCGTTATTTTCATTTTTTAAATAACTATTTTTATGGCGCCTTCTCTTGGCTGCATTCACGGTTCGAGTCGGTGACGTCACCACAAGCCGTGTGGCTCTTGGCGGCTGGAACCTCGAACGCACTCACGACTTCCTCGGTTTGCATCACGACCCGCCCTTTAAGCGCCTAAACAGGGTTCTCGCGTATGCGTGACAGTGGCAGCACCGAGGAAAGAAGAATGCGGCTGTTTAATCCATGCTCATGTGGACAGGACGATTTATAGTAACACGGGGGGAACCTATAATTCACAGAGAAACCCTCCCCCTCTCCAATGGTGTATTTTGACTCCTGAGCCAAGGGACGGAGGAAAGGGGGGCTGTCAAGGCCAGAGGTTGCGAGGAGGGTTGCTGAGCGAAAAGCAGGTTCTGACATCCCAATAAATTCCTTAGAAGCGTTCAGCATTTTTTTTAAATAAAAAGACTATCCACAGAGCGGTCGTCCCTGCCCCCAACCCTCCTCCTTCTCCAAAGCAAGAAAAGAAGCTACTCGAACTTTGAGGGGCTGCATAAATGTATCTTTTTTGAGGGGGAAGGAGTCGCTTATGAATCGTCACCTATGGGATTGGGATGTTCAAGGGATTTCTCTGCACGATCCCGTCCGTTTCCATTCGAACACGGTCACTCGCCCGAAAGCGATTTCTGGGCCTCCTCATATTGTACAAGGCATTTTTAGAATCATGCAGATTAGATACTCCTGAAATTGGTATCTAGACAAGTATAACGAGGACTCGGATGGCTTTAGTAGTGGACCTCACGCGAATTGCGGACTAGTGCATGCTCCACTGCAGTCCCTGCAGAGGTCAAAACACCATTAAGAAATGTGTGCAATGGGAAAATGTATCCAGATAAAGCGAAGCGAAGTATTTCATGAGTCAGTGAGAAAACGTATCGAGACGAGAAACGATGACTAAATATATAGATAAGATAAAAGACGCCTGAATTTAGCGTTCAGATGTGCCATTTACGTAGATACACCTCAGCACTACCGACAGTCGCATGGACGTATCGCTGGGTTTCATCTCGACGTGAAGCCGTATTTCCCTGCTCGAGCATTTCACCAAAGACTCGACGAGGATGGAACGAGAGGCGACGGGCAGTCCGCTCGGAGTCGATACAGAGTGACGGGGGAGCAGCCTCGGAGCGGAATCCTGAGCAGCGGTGCTGCCAGCAGTGTTGCCAGACAGAGGCGCTCTCGGAGAGGCTTTCTTTCGGTCGCCTGAAGGGCGATGGGAGTCGATGGTTAGATGTCGGAGGGGTTTTGAGACAAAGAAGTCTGTTTGCGGAGGGTTTTTCCAAAGTTTCTGGCATTGCTTTCAGAAAAGATTAGATTCGGGCATCACCTGTCCCCGCTGCAGCACTGTCGACTGGGGACTCCCCCCCCTGCGAAGTCTCGTTCAGCCTCGAACAGATAGGACAATGGACAGTGGACACCGTTGCGGTGCGCTCTGCCGAGGCGAGTTTGCTGTCCTCATTGTCTTCATCTATTAGGGGGCAACATTTCAATTTTTATCACCCTTGTAAGTAAGTCATACAAATTCGGAATCAGTTAATAAATCAGGTTACGACTGAATGTACTCTTTTTCCTTAAATGGGTACGGTCGTGCGTGCGGTTGTCTGTTACGAAGCCAATCGCAGGTTCCCTTCGAAGCCGCTTTTCTCAGTTGCTTTCCCCTAGCCGGTAAATCCCGAACCCCAACCCCCCCCCCCCACCTCCCTCTCTCTCCTTTCTTTTCGCCAGTCCAAACATTTCTAAGTGAATAATGCTGCGGGTAAAGAATATAATCTGTATCTGCGTTGCATTCGACAACCAGATCAGTCACAACACTGTCGAAACAAGACGTTTCCTGTATTCCTGAAAAATTTCCAGTCTCTTGAATTTCGTCTGTCCTTGTTGCAGGTTGGGATCCATGGACATGCAAATGAGCCTGCTTTTGTTTTTTGAAAAAGTTTTATTTATTCATGGAAAGCGTGAAAGACAAAGTAGTGCGTGCTTAATTTGTTCCCTTCCTGCCCAGAGAATGTCATGTATGCATATAATTATATATATTTTACATTTTTATTCCCGAAGCGAAAAACAAGGTTGTCGTCTCTAAAAATCGCGTGACAATGCGCTAAAAACCAGGTGTACAAACGACGATGACGAGCAAGGCCGGGACGAGCAAGGCTGATGGGATGAGCCCGATGCGATCAGGAAGCAAGCAGCAGCTGCTTAATTGCTCTCTGGATGGCATCCATGCCATGCCTGCCCTGGTCCTGTCCTCTGCTGTTATTCGCGGGTGAGTGCGTTGTCGCTGGATCGATCACGCCGTCACCCCTTCCTTTTGGTTTACCTCGTTTCTTTAAAAGAAGCCACTTGTATGTCAGTCTGTTACCCATTTTTCCTGTCCGACAATGGAAAAAAAGATAGTGCCATGACCGCAGTGAAAGTTGGAAGGCAGACACGTGTGAGAAAGATGCACGCTGAACTTGTTTGTAGCGAAGGTCATGCCGAAAACCCCCAACTCTTTATGCAATTGTGGAAATATTTGAAAGCTAAGACATGGTTTCCAAGCGGAGATCCGTTTCATTTTTGTTTCATTGCATTCCAACTTCATTCCATGCGACTATTTGTTTCAGAGCCTCTGATGTGCTGCAACCAGGTGTTCCATAGCAAAGCCGCACACCGGGCACACACTCGGGAGAACCATCGATCAGGATTCCGGTGCCCCGACTGCGGGAAGGTCTTCCCCCGCCGCTCCCTCCTCCAGCGACACTCCTCCGTCCACACGGGGGTGAAGGACCACCGCTGCGGGATCTGCTCCTACTCGACCAGCCACAAGAGCAACCTGGAGAGGCATCGTAAGGTTCACTCCCGGCAGGCCGACCTCCACCCGGACTTTTCCCAGAGCTCCAACCGTCTCGACGAGGACCCTGAACGACAGGACGACGTCTCGGAGTTCTCCCGGAGCCGCCCTGCGACCGACCATCAGGAACGGCAGGTCGACGTCGGCCAGGACTGTTCCCAGAGCTGTTCGGCTGAAGACACGGAGCTCATCATTGATGTCGAGTGCCTGTCTGGAGACAATCACGAAGAGGAAATGCAGGAAGAATACTTGCCAAAGAAACTCCGCATGGCCAAGAAGTACCAGTGTTCCACAGTTAACCAGTTGTAAGTCCGGTTTCAAGGACAAGTATTGATTCAATAGAAGCCTGTGATAACTCTGAAAGAAAATTGTGATCGAGGACGACCTAATGCTCAACAGAGAAATCTCGTGCCATTGTGACCAGTGGTCTTTTCCACAGTTCTAGTCTGCCCAATCTATCAAGTCTTGCTGGGTCTGGTCAAAATGTAGATATTAAAGTTGTCTAAAGATCAAAAAGTTTTCCTAAACTCTCACGGTCAACTCGTGATCTTGTAGTCAGCTCGCGAACAAGCTCTAGAGATAGAGTCCTCCTAGTCCATATTTGTAGCCGTTGTTGGGTAAGATACAACCATAAATTTGTTGGTTATGAAAATAAAAATGCTTCACAATTGCATAGAAGTGGTTTGATTCACTTAAATATGAAGTCGATTGGAATCTTGATATCTGGAATGAGAGAAAATTTATCTCTCGTTTTATGATAATGGTGAGAAAAACCCGAAGTGCCTCTGGGGCTTTTATTTTAATTTAACTGAAGGAACCTGCGCATGTACAATTTTTTTAACTGAGATCAATAATGTGCTACGTCAATGGGGGGGAGGGGGAGTATGGGCTTTCCCTTACATATTTCTGCCCTCTAGGCCTCGTCCACACCAGGAAGTTTTCTATGCCAGTAGACTTGCAAAGAAAACTTTCGTGGTGAGGATGTCTTGAAAGTTTTATATGCAAGATCTTCAATGCTATGAGAGATTTTTTTCGAAAGTTTTCTTTTAAGAAATCTTTCTCCTGCAACATGCAAGAAAACTTTCTGGTGTGTACGAGGCCTTAGTAATTTGAAGGGCTGAAAAGTGGTCTATCTAAAACAAATTAATTTTCTCGAGCTTCTTGCGAATAGAGTGAATATTTCAGTGATCTTAAAAGTGAGAGAATGCGGCATGCCTTGAAGACCAGTTTCTCCCTTACATACACATAGACCCTTACATACAGGTCTATGTGCGCTAAACCAATTACACTTCTCTCGATCTTTTTTTTTTCAGATAGACCACGCTTTCTTCCAGCCCTTCATTTAATGAACACCTTAAAGTCACATAAAAATTTACATCGGAAAGTTTTCTTCTCGGGGGGGGGGGGGGGGGGGGCCCTTTCCCCCCAGTCTTNGGCGGGGACCTTTCCTGCGCCTAAAATTCTTCCCTTCCAAAAGTGGGAAACAGACGAAAGAAACGACGAAGTTGATGGCTTTACTTCTGATACAGCTTTTGGGCCCACTGCACGCTAGCCCTCGATGGCAACATAAGCTTTCGTGGCATTTTTCCGTTGGCCTGCTTGTTTTTTTGCGTCGGCGCCGCCTCTGTAAAGTATTGAGTCAGGTCTCTCTATTGACTGAGGTCCCAATTCTTTTTCATAATTAACGACAGGGCCGTGGCATGAGACAAGATAAATAGAGAGACATTCCTGGAAGATGTAACATCAGTGGCTCAGGTCAATTTCTCAAATTGCTAAAAGAGCATCTTGCAGCCTCCCTCCCATGGAGACATGAAATGCTCCGAGTATTTAGATTTAAAACATCCAAAATATAAGCGAAGCGTGTATATAATACACTTCTAAGGACAGTGCGTGATGACCTTGTCATTGTCACTGTTGATGAGGCGTCTAACAACTTTGCCTCATCTGTAATTGCTTTAATGGTAACATCCTTAAGGAATAAATTGTAATAGTCCAAAGGTATTCAATTATTTTCCGCTGAGATCTATGTGAGAAACCGTAGGCAACTGTGTCGAAGGGACAGGGGACTCATTTCAGTAGAATCCGGGAAGTAACTCC